AGAGATTTAAAGAGGAGCAGCAAAAGCAAAGGTGATGGATTAGCAGCTGATCATATCATCCAGTCATCTTACTGCACTCTAAAAAGTGTATTTGGGCTGTAGTTAATGTTATGGCCTTTTTTGCATTAACTTGACTTAATTGTTTGGCTTTAGTTATGTCAACTTACTTTCATGAGTTCAATTAACTTAAAAGTCACACATTTCATCTAAAACAAACGGTTAACTTTGAGTTGAAGTGAACCAATTAAGTTAATGCAGTTTTACGTCTGACGTCATTACGTAAGCTTTGCCTGAGACAGATCCACTTCTTGTACCGACCGCTTGTGCAGCCGCCATTTCTTCTCACCATCGACTGTCCACCGGATTGTAATAAAACAGTAAGTATTCTACACACCATGGCAAAATATTATTTAAACGGTGTAAAAATATTAATGACTTTTTCTACCTTTAATTTGAAAGAGTTAACTGTTTTTAACGTCGAAGTATCATCAGTTATTTGCTTTGAACACATTTGCTAGTTGTAATTTGCCGCGCTATTCGGCATGTTTGAACTTAACTGCTCTGTTAGTTAGTGAACGTTTATTTTGTGTGTGTATTTTTAATTTGACCCTAAAGAACTTAAATAGCTGGAAGTCGGGTATGTAGTGAAAAACATGAAATGTGATTTAGACTGGAGACGTTCAGGGCTGGTGCTGGTGGACCGAGAACTGCTGGCGTGTTCCGGTCGGAAGCTAGACTGGGTCAAAGTGTGGGAGCAGCTAATGCACTGCAGTGGTGGCCAGACTTTATAACAAGAACTACTGGACAGGTTGTTTTTTTATGGGTAAGCTTAACGTACAGTTACGGAGGTGTTAGTGTTATACGCAAAACTAATTTAATGTGACGCAACTGCGCTCTGCTTGTCACTTGTCACCGTGAGCTGCAGTCAGGGAAGCCATTTGTTCCAATTGTCAGGCTGCTTACTGACGACATGATATAAAACGCATAATATCCTGACAGTGCTAATAATCCATAAGATGTCATTTCTCTTAAAAAAGAAAAAGCAAAAAAATAAAATAAGCAATTCATGTTTGTAGGAACTTTGAGTTAATTTCTCTTTCCCACTCTCCAGGCCTGGAACCAAGCATCATCAGACCATAGAAGGTAAGCCATATTTGCTTCACTAAGCTTCTAATTTAGAAAAAAAAAGTTAAGTTATTAGTTAATATGCTGTATTGTATTAATAATATGAAAAACATATACTCTAAACTAATTCAAAAATAGGTTCGATAAATATCATTTTAAAGTAAAAGGAATAATAGGTGGTCAAAGAACGAGATGAAATTAATTTCCTCCAAAGGGTTGATGAGCTCTCCCTCAACATGGGGTCAGAAGCTCAGTCATCTCGGAGAGGCTGAGATTAGAGCTGTTGCTCCTCTACATCCAGTGGAGCCATTTGAGGCAGCTCGCGCATCTGATTAAGATGCCTCCTGGAAGCCTCCCTGGTGATGTTTTCTGGGCACGGCCTGCCAGGAGGAGGCCATTGTAGTGGGACTGTCACTCAGCTGGGCTGCGAAGTCTTTAGGATTCCAAAAGGTAGGGAGGTGGCTGGGGAGAGGGAAGCTGCCCTTGCAACCCCACTTTTGATTAAGCTGTTAAGAATTAATTATAGTTAAACAACTTTTTGTTTTCCCACCAATATCTAACATTATTTTAATTTCTAACACTATGGTTATGGTAATATAAGATTGTACAAAAAATGTAATGCATGTTAGATTTTATTTTTTCTTTATGGCTGAAACTACCTTTTATTTTGTATTCCCCTCTATAAGCAAATGTCCTAGCATTCAACTAATATATATACAACATATATTGTGAAGAATTTAAATAGTCGCCTTCATCACTTAACTGTCTTTATGCCCTTTTTTCAGATTGCCATGGCAAGTTCAAAACCTGCAAGACTGAAGGTGATTCTAGGAGAGAGCAACACTGAAAAACTGACTCTTCCAAATGGCATACCAGATTCTCTGGATGATCTTCTCAGCAAGGTGAAGGATACCTTTGGTTTAAAGACCAACATCAGACTGCAATATATGGACAAAGACTTTGGTAAAGACTTCTTCAACCTCAGCTCAACTTCTGACCTTGAGGACTTGGGAACAGTCAAGGTGATTCAAGAAGAAGCAGTTCAACCTTTTGTTGATGTCATTGAAACAACTCCATCTTCTTCTGCAGTTCACTCAGATGACAGCAGTTCTTTAGCTTCAAATGACACTATACTCCTCTCCTCCCCTGAATCCTTCTCATCGCGAACCCAACAATGGCCAGCCAACTTTCCCATTCCCATGTTTTCGTATGACACTGAATGTCAGCTACAGAAGGGGAATTCTGAGTATCAGGCAAACAACAAAATATTGACAGTCACCCCACGAATGAAGACTGACATCCTAAATAGATTAGTAGAAGAGATCTACAGATACAGAGCCTATCCAGAGGACGCACAGTTCTGTGTAGTTGCAGAGGCCTTGATTAAAAAACATCCATGTT